AGGACGCTACTAGGGGCTCCTGGCATCGCTACTAGGAACAAGGACGCCACTAGGGGCTCCTGGCATCGCTACTAGGAGCAAGGAACGGTCTTGACCGCGGTCGTTCACGCGGTGAAACAGAGCTAAGCGGCTACTTACAGCTACCTACCGAGCTCAACCTCAAACCATTCAGCGGCTTGAGCCAAAAGTGAAACACATGCAACTACAAGAGGGCTACGCGTGCTCGGAGGAACTAAAGTGGCTGCGGCTCTTCAAGCTGCTTGCGTAGCCCGCGGCAGCGGTCCGAACGGGATCACGCTACCCGCAGGGCCAGCCTGACAAGTCAGTCCGCGGAAGCCGAACTCTGCTTCCTGCCTGCTTTCGGCCTCTGGCCCTGCGAGGATTGGAAGTCGGCCTCATCGAACACCTGGCTCTCTTCCCAATCCTCTTCGAAGTGCTCCTTGTAGGCTTGGAACACTTGGTGATCCACATCAGCGGTGATCACCACTCCGGATTCCCTATTGGCCTTTGAGCTTGTAGTCCAGTTACAGCTCCCGACCACCAAGTGCCCAACCTTCCAATTTTCCACGAAGCACGTTTTCGAGTGCTGGATCCCTTTCAAGCCCGACCCTGCGGTTGTCGACCTGCTGTCCTCTGCATAGGCCTTGCTCAGGGATCTTCCTCGGCATACTCGGATTCTATGTCCGGCGTTTCGGAGCATCGTCAGGCCCTGAAGTTGCATTTTCGTACAAGACTCGTGTGTCATCCCAGCATCCTATAGGATTCGCACGAACCCCTGATGACCCTAGATCATCTCGACCATATCTGGCTGGTCGAAACTGTACGCCGTAACTCGTACGGACGCTTTAGGGTTCTGCTGCAAAGGCACTCAACAGCTCGAACCTGCGCCTCCTTGTTTTGGACGTATTTGATCTCCAGGTTTTGGGTGGCAGGAGCGTTTTCCAACCCCAGCTGGACGTTCAAACCAGCGGTTGTGCTTCTTTTGCCACCCGATCATCTGGCTTCAACTGCGTCTGACGAGTCATCTTGCTGACTCCCAAGACAACAAGTTTCTGACCCCTGCGAACCCGGAGGCGACGACGGCTTCGACCACGGTTACAGCCTTCTTCGCCGCCCCTTCAAAACATACCCTCCTATTCTTCCTGTCACCTGCACAATCTACCGAGACCTCCTCAACCTCGGCTATTGTCCTCTGGGCATAGGACGTGAGCGCGTCAACAACTTCCTCTGCTCCCTGTTCAGTCCGCCAGACCAGCGGAACTGCAGCCAAGAAGGCCAGCATCTTCATCCAGCCAGGGCCGTTCCCATTCAGCGCACGCTGAAGGCGGTTACGGCTCCTTTTCCGTTTTGCTTCATAGGCCGCTCGCAGAGATTCTTTCACCGGGGCCCACTCTCTGGACTCCTTGAACTCTCCTTCGCATTTCTCTCCGTGCAAATACCCCGTGCAAACCCACGCATCTGGGTTGTTGACTGTGGCGCGCCAGCAGCAGACCCACGAACCCCAGACGCACCTCACGTCTAGAGTGTCGTCAGGCCCCAGCGCTCTCCTCCCTCGAGCCGCTCTTCTCCGCGCTCTCTTGCGCGATCCAGCTGAGCCGCAGGTTGGCTTCACGAGAGCCCGCGACGGTCCTGCGATGTTCTGCGGCCCTGACACGCGATTTGGCTTCGCGCTGAGCTGCCTCAAGCTCTTCCCTGTCCCTCCGGCCTCGCGCGCCTCAGGCGCCGCTGTGTGCCTCGCATCGAGCCCAGTCGCGCCCGCAGGTGCATCGGAAGCAGCTGTATACGGCTACAGCCACACACCTGAGCTCTCTTCCTTCTGGCCTTAGTTCTGAAAGGCTTGAGCCGTAGTCATACTGCGGCTTGCTCCCTTCCGGGACTGGCTCAGAACCGAGCCGAGACCGGAGGAGTTGATTCGCAGCATATACGCCTCCGCGCCTGCCTTCATCAGGCCTTCCAGACGTTCTCCTCGGGCGGCATCTGCAGCGGTGCCTCCCTGAGAGTGTTCTGCCAAGGTGGCAGCCTGCGATGAAGTCTGGACACTGCTCACCGACCGGCAGATCTTCGAGGCTTAAGCGCCACCCTGTCGTGACGATGTCATCCGCCGCGACGCGGCAGCTGCAGCACGCTCCCTTTCATAACGGGCCTCCAACTTGAACATTTCGTCTATGCGCCGGTCGCTGACCAGGTGGTCATCATCAAAAGGACATTTTGCTTTTATTTGATTCCTGACCGACTCGTGCGCAGCCGGCGACATCCATCTTTCTGCCACAACTCCTTTGGCGTGTGGACCCACCAGAAGTTTGGCGGCTCACCTTCATACCCTTTCGGGATTCGAGCCCTAGGCCTTCTTGCGGGCGCAGGCGAACGTTCTCGTTCCGGCGCTTCCTTAACCTCCTCTTGAGCTTCTGCAACCGCCGTTCCAGGGCCTGGAACACCGGAATCGAGAGTTGCGAACATCGGCGTCGTCCGCTCCGGTGAAGGCCCTTTTGACCTCAGATGGCAGGGAGGGAGCACCGTCCGTGTCACGCACTTCCTGGTCATCCGCGTCCTGGGCAGACCGTCCAGTGGGTCGTGAGCCGCGCGGTTTGCGAACCGCCGCCGGCCAGCAACCCGAAGTCGCAGATCGCCGACACCTTTTCCAAATCGGTGCCGTGCCACATGTGCGAGAATGGCGACAGCCGGCGTTCACGGAGGCTGCTCACCTCCGCTTCCTCGTAGACAGCGCTGGCATCAGCTATCCCGAGGTCTGCGCTATGCCCGCAAGGCTCGGACGCGTGTCCGGTCCTCACTCAGCTGCAGGCGCGGCTTCACGTTCCCGGCATCAGCTTCCACCGCCTGGGTCAGCCAGGAATTCCGGAACGCCAAAGAGCTGCGAGGACCGCGACAAACGGATCCACCCTCCTTTCATTGCGGACGCGCAGTGCCCGAACGCTCCATGGCGGCACGCTCTGGTCAAGCAGTACCCCATCTCATGTTCGACTTGCTTCCTTTGCGTTTTCCTTTTCCGCCCATCCTTCCTAGCTCCGCGCCGCGGCCCTGAAGACAGGAACCAACGGCCACGGGAGCAAGGACCTGCTGGTCACCCAAAGATGACCAACTCAGACGCTCGAGGGTCGAGAAGCGCTCAGAGCTCAACCCACTCCGCCCGGCCCCGCGTCCCTCCCGCGGGCCGAACCAAAACGGCTGCGGAGGAAAGGGACGTGGAAAAAGGGAACAAAAAAAACCAAAAACACAACATGCACACGACCCGAACCAGACCGGAACCACCGACGAACCTAGTTGGGCGGTTACGCGGCGGTTCTGGTCCGAAACGACCGGGTTCGGAAGCGTGCGGAAGTCGAGCGCGGAGGAAGTCGAGCCCCAACAGCTGCGTTCGGAGAGAGTGCGTTTGGGTGAAGCAAGCTGGGGGCTCCTGGGGACATCGCTACTAGGAGCAAGGGCCTTAGTACTAGGAACAAGAAGCTACTAGGGGCTCCTGGCATCGCTACTAGGAGCAAGGGCCTTA